TTGGCTCTCTTTAATTCCATGCCTCCTTATAGACATATGAGGCACTTGAACATGTCATAAAACACGAGTAACAAACACCAACCTTCGCTGATAGTATCACACATCAATAAAATGGCTTCTTTTCTTAGCATCTGTTTAAACTTATTGCAGAGTTTTATTAAGCGGTTAATCATCTGATTTATGCTTGTTTAAGAGCATAAATACCTAAAAAGTTCTTGTTGGATTCTAAAAAACTTTGAAAAAGTTTGACAGCTGTGACTAAAAAGGTCTTTGCAAACCGAATTTGACAACAGGCTGCAGTGAACTTTTGGGCTTAGACAAACTGTCTTGCTCTACTCACGAAGTCGGTTGCTTAGTGACTCTGGGAGGGAAAAAGCCCGTTTGGAGTCATCCTTTACGCTGTCACGCAGTGACCGAACACTTTTCTGCTGATTTCTGGCAAAACGAGCCCTTCTTATCTTCCACATTGCTGCATCGCTCAGATTAGCCACATTGGTCCGCACAGCTGTAATGGCTGTCAAAAAGAAAACAGAATAGAAAACTTAGTCTATAAAGGTTATCACCTGTCATTCATCCAAATGGGATTCCGACGTACTTGTGGGAAAGGGAAACTCCTTGTTGCAATCCAGGTGCAGCTGAGCCTCCAGAGATAGTGTTTCAAAGCGGTTGACAAAAAACTCCCAGCTCAGAGCAGGGATGTCTTTCTTCAGGAAGTGCAGGAGAAGAAGTTTGCTGAGAATGATCGGGCGATCCCGAACGACGGTGTCGAACTGGAAGTCCAGACACAGACACAAACCCTGCAAAGCGAACAGGTTTATAAAACAGAAAGGAACAGGATTATCATAACATTTATTAATCAGGATGTTTGTGCACAGCAGATATTCAGATACACTGCTTGAATAGACATACATTTGTACATTTATAGGTCTTTTAAAATCATTTGATCTACAATCTTCAGAGTGCTAACTTCAAATCAAAGTCTCACATGAGAAAAAAAGAAGTGCACAAATAGGCTCCATTTCAGTTACTATTCTTTTTTTTTTTTTTTTTTTACATCTTTTTAAATTTAGGTAAAAGTGTTCAGGCTAAAGAAAACCTTATGCTTTTGACACAACTATCAATACAC